GCGGGGCCTGGGACCACCCCGTGACCCTTGGCTCTCTCTCACCCCGGTTAGGCGGGGGAGAGAAGGTGGGGGTCCGAGGCAGGGGGCTCAAACCGTGCTTTTTTGTGAGGATGTTTCTTGACTTTATGACCACTTAGGCTTTGCATTGCAGACAAAAGACGGTGAAGTGCTGGGAGTTTATATATATATATATATATCTTTTAAATGTAGCATCGAGCGGGCATCGCCATCGCCTACACAAACTAACTAAGGCTCCTTGAACCGGCAATTATTTTTCATTTGCGCCAGCATCACGACGACCTATGGACGTGATACGTATATAGGCTAGAAAAAACCATTTGGCCTTATATAGGCAAAATAACACATGGGGTACGAGTGAGCAAGACAATTTTCTAGAGAACAAACCTTTGCTTTTTGCCTTGCTAGCCTTGCACTTCTGCAAATTTTGCTAACTGCTGACCCTGGCAGTTTCGCCGTTTTTGTTGGCCAAGTCTTGTTGGCCAAGAAGATGCGAGGCCTCATGAACCAAACATGGTGGGTTTGCATGTCTTGAGGTTTTTGGTTAGAGGTGCCCTGAGTGTTGGCTTCACCACTTGATGTTTGTAGAATGGGTGGTAGGTAGGTAGATTGGTACACAGGTAGGTCGGTTGGTTTAATTTGATTGATGCTTTCAACGGAGGAAACCTCAAGAATGCGCTTGACACACCCTACTTTATTGCTTTGGCCTATGGAGAGCATTTTCCAGAGGCTTGCATGAAGGAGCCAGAATGTAGGCTCACTCAGGGTTTGTCGAGTATGCTCAATTGGCTCGTTACGTTGAAGCAGCTGAAAGCTTTCCCCGAAGGGAATCAGGTGGCCGCTTACATCCCCTACTTGGAGGACCTCTCGCACATACGCTATGTTGAAGCCTGGCGCAGCACTCCCTGGTTCGTTTTGCTGGAGAAACCGCACTGGTCTGAAGCTTTTCTCTACTTAGTGCAGGAGCTGGAGGATGTCTTAGATGCGGATATGGGTTTTCCTCTATCCGATAACGCTGAGGACAAGTTCCAGCGTTCTGTGCAACGAATGGGCTCTGACGCTTCCGATGGCCTCCCTTCCATGATTGGAATGTATTTTTGTGTTGGAGATGATGTGCTAAGTGCTAGGTGGCCATCTGAGGCCATCTGCCACCGGCAGAGGAGGTGTTTCTTCCAAGGTGCACGGGAACTCATATTTTTTAAGGAACTTTTTTCGCGTCCTTTTTGGGATTTTTTTTCACCGTTAGTGGTTTGATAGCTTTCTGTTAGCTGTGGCTTTTGGTGGCTCTGGGCTTTTGGCGGCTGTTGGTTTTTGTTGGCTTTTGGCAGCTTTTGGCTTTTGGTGGCGTTTGGCTTTTGGCGGCTTTTGGCTTTTGGTGGCTTTTGGCTTTCGGCGGCTTCTGGCTTTTGGCGGGTGTCGGCTTTTGGTGGCTTTTGGCTTTTGGCGGCTTTTGGCTTTTGGCGGCTTCTGGCGTTTGGCGGGTGTTGGCTTTTGGTGGCTTTTGGGGCGTGTCTCGGCTTCTTTTTTTTGATCATTTTTCCAACCATCTTGCTATGTTGCCAGGGCATGACTGCTGCCGAGGGCATCTAGATCTCTAAGTCTCTCTGGGAACTTTGGGGAACTTGTTGCACATATCCTTTCATTGTCTGCTCCTGATCTTGAAGCAGGTGTGAAGCGCTATATCGCCTCCACACAGGGCACTTGCGGAACCAACCCGGGCCATCTAACTTTTGAAGGCTTTCAATTCAGTGTCTTTGCTGCCTGTCGTTAATTTGCCATATGTTTGGGGGGTGCTGGAGACTTGCGCATGCCATTGTTTGGCACATTTTTGGAGTGTTGGCGTGTTAGTCCTTGTCTTTGGTCCTTTGAGGTGGCTGCTGCTGTCCCCTCCATTCTTCCATGCTCTAAACACTGTGGCAATGCCAAATAGGTGGATAATAGGGCCGACCTTAGCTTCCAACACCTCTGCGCAGTGAATGCCATAAAAAGGCTGCAAGTAGTTATAGTTTCCATACTGTAAAAGCTGTGACAAAGCCACAGAGGTGGTTGATATAGCGCGCCCCTCAGCAATGTCCAGCATGTCTATCCTTTCGTTCTTTTGTGTCTGCCTGGTCCGATGTGTTTCTGTTGAAGGCTTTTGAGCCGATGCTCAACCCCAACCATCCTCAGTGGGCTAGAATATATGGTCCTTTGAGGTGGCTGCGCTTCGAACCACCTATCCAAAGTGATGCGAACCAGCCGACGCGAAAAAAGGCACGCTTTGTCCTTGCCCCTAGCTTCTTTGCTCCAGCGGTGATCCTCGCAATGCTTCATTCTTTCACGCGTGAGCTCTGAAGTGTAATCTGCACTTTGAGGTTCAAAAAAAGTGCAGCGCCTGCCACAAAAAGGTTTCCAGGTTCACAAAGTGCTGCACCTGCCACCCGCCACGAAAGGTGCACTTCCCGGTTCACAAAATGCTGCGCCTGCCACGAGGTCCGCGCTTGAAGGTTCACGAAGTGCGGTGCCGGCCACGAAATCTGCACATCGAGGTTCACAGAGTGCTGTGCCTGCCACGAAATCTGCACATCTAGGGTCACAGAATGCTCCGCCTGCCACAAAATGAGCAACTGAAGGTACTCAAAATGTTATGCCTGCCACGGAACCACTACGTGAAAGCGCTACCACAAAAAATTCCCAAAAGGAGCGCGAAAAAAATCCCTTAAAACATCGCCAACCTTTTGCACGCTTGATGGCATCAACAAACTATTCAATAAACCCTACTGTGCATCATTGTTCTTGGTTTATTGGACATGCGACGCCTTCATGTTATTTTTTAATCCTTATTTGTTTGCGTTAGTTTTGCCCAACTGGCGGCAGACTCAGGTGGTGCTTGTTCCCGGCTGGGCAAACTCCAAGAACAGGCGCTTGGACTTAGAAATGATGAGGACATAGCGCTTGCCATTGCTCGGTTGCAGCAGGCGGCCTTTGAAGCACCTTGTGCTTGGGCATTTGGTGCAAACACATGACTAAGATGTGGAAACAACATGTTCCGGTCACGCAAACCTCAACATGTTCTAAGCAACAAGAAGCTACTAGTAACAAGTGCATCGCTGCTAGTAACAAGTGCATCGCTACTAGTAACAAGTGCATCGCTACTAGTAACAAGTTTTCTTTTTTTGGCGTCGAACATGTTTCAGCCTCCGAGGTTTTGAGCACTTTGCTCGGAGCATGGTGATTTTTGGGGCAGCGATCCGTCCGCTGTTGCCAGCAGGTGCTTGGCCTTGGCCTTCATCATCGATGCCGGCGGAGTCAGGAAAGACTCAATCGATTTGGCGCCTTTGCAACCAGCCAGACATAACTCACCGTCGTGTTGGCCAAGCAGAGCTGCACTTTTTCTCCGCTGATGTTATACTGGTTGGAGAGGAGCTGCAGGTTGAGTTGCTTTGGACAGCGACCTCGGACGACAGCTGCATCATGGTTGGAAGCAATTCTGAAAGGGAGAATGACACGTACTATTCTTTCCTACACACACTTCCTCACTCCCACCTGATGCATTGGGAATGTGCCTTCAACATGCCTCAGGGCATCGAGTTCCATTCCAGCAGTGCTGCTGCAAGCACTTCCCTGTCCGGTTTCACGTCCATCTCCACATGCCGGGTCCCACCAGACACTGCCGCTGCAAAGCTCCTGAAGTGCCCCAGCAAAACGGACATGCTGCACAGCCAGGAAGGAACACAAATGAATGGACATGATATAGAGTCTCTAAGAAGTTGGCCTCCCTGGGCGACAAAAGCATATTTAAGAACACACACACATACATATATACAACCGGGGCCCGAGAGTCTGAAGCCTCAAAAGGCCTGCGAACGCG